TTTCCTCACATGGTTCAAAAACAGCTTCCAAGGGCAGTTTCCACAGAGGAGCTAGCTCCTAAGGTGTCTTTTTAAATTTTTTAAATTTGTTTTAATTATACATGATAGTAGAATGCATTTATGCACTTTGATACATCATACATAGGTGAGATATAATTTCTCATTTTTCTGAGTGTACATGTTGTAGAATCACATTGGTCATGTAGTCACATATATACATAAAGTAATAATGTTTGTTTCTTTCTACTATTCTTCCTATCCCCACATCCTCTCCCTTCCCTTCCCTTCACTTCCCTCTACCTAATCTAAGGTGACTCTATTATTCTCTAGTGCTTTCTGCTTATTGTGAACTAGCATCCACATATTAGAGAAAACATTCAGCCTTTGGTTTTTTGGGATTGGCTTATTTTGCTTAGCATGATATTCTCCAACTCCATCTATTTACTGGCAAATGCCATAGTTTCATTCTTCTGTAAAGCTAAGTAATATTCCATTGAATACATATACCACATTTTCTTTATCTATTCATCTATTGAAGGGTACCTAGGTTGGTTCCATAGTTTAGCTATTGTTAGCCACATTAATGTGGCTGTATCATTGTAGCATGCTGATGTTAAGTCCTTTGGATATAAACCAAGAAGTGGGATAGCTGGGTCAAATGGTGGTTCCATTCCATGTTTTCTGAGGAATCTCCATACTGCTTCCATAATGATTGTACCAATTTGTAGTACCACCAGCAATGTATGAGTGTACCCTTTCCCCCACATCCTCACCAATATTTTTTATTGCTTGTATTCTTGATGATTGCCATTCTGACTGGAGTGAGATGAAATCTTAGTGTGGTTTTGATTTGCATTTCTCTAATTGCTAGAGATGTTCAACACTTTTTAAAATATTTGTTGATTGACTGTATTTCTTCTTCTGTGAAGTATCTGTTCAGTTCTTTAGCCCATTTATTGATTGGGTTATTTGTTTTTTTGGGGGTGGTATTAAGTTTTTTGAGTTCTTTATATATCCTAGAGATTAATGCTTTATTGGAGATGCATATGGTAAAGATTTTCTCCTAACCTGTAGGCTTTTTCCTCATGTTATTGTTCCCTTTAAGAGAAGAAGCTTTTTAAAATTTGAATCCATCCCATTTATTGATTCTTTGATTTTACTTCTTGCACTTTAGGGGTCTTGTTAAGGAAGTCAGATCCTAGGCCGACATGGTGAAGATTTGGGCCTATTTTTTCTTCTCTTAGGCACAGGGTCTTTGTTCTAGTGTCTAAGCCTTTGATCCACTTTGAGTTGATTTTTGTGCAGGTGAGAGTTAGAGGTTTAATTTCATTTTGCTACATATCAATTTCCAGTTTTGCCAGCACCATTTGTTCAATAGGCTATATTTTCTCCAGTGAATGTTTTTGGCACCTTTGTCTAGTATCAGATGACTGTATTTATGTGGGTTTGTCTCTATGTCTTCTATTCTGTACCATTGGTCTACATGTCTATTTTGGTGCTAATACCATGCCGTTTTTGTTTTGTTTTGCTCTGTAGTGTAAAGTCTGGTATTATGGTGCCTCCTGCTTCACTTTTCTTGCTAAGGATTGCTTTGACTATTCTGGCTCTCTTGTTTTTCCCAAATACATTTTATGATTGCTTTTTCTATTTCTATGAAGAATGTCATTGGATTTTAATAGGAATTGATTAAGTCTATATAATGCTTTTGGTAGTATGGCCATTTAACAATATTAATTCTGCCTATCCAGGAGCATGGGAGATCTTTCCATCTTCTGAGGTTTCATTCAATTTCTTTCTTTAGTGTTGTATAGTTTTCATTGTAGAGGTCTTTCACCTCTTTTGTTAGGTTGGTTCCCAGGTATTTTATTTTATTTTTTTGAGGCTATTGTGAATGGAGTAGTTTTCCAAATTTCTCTTTCAGTGGATCCATCACTGATGTACAGGAATGTGTTTGATTTATGGGTATCCAAAGTGTTCTTGTCAGCAGCAGTAAAGAAAGACAGTACTCATGATGATTGGTAACCAAGATACTATTTTATAACCAAACTTCTCTTGCTGACATAAGAGTTTCTATTTATTTTTGGTCAGATTATTCCTAATTTGCCTCCATCCATGGAGAATTAGAATAAGGTAGAATTCAACTTGATGATTGCTTATTGAGCACCTGCTGTGTGCTGGGTATCAGGAGTAAGATGAGGAACATGGTGGATGTGGGCCCTACCTTGTGAATTTATGGTAAGGGAGTGGGGTTCATGGTATAGAAAAAACAAAAAACAAAACCAAAAAGCAAATCTTTGTCAGATTGATTCAAAACCACTGCTGTTAACCTTTTGAGTTAAATTTTTACTTTTCCCCAAACACTGTCTGGAAAACATTGTTATCCTAGGAAATATTGGGGAATGCAGTAATGAAACTGTGTCAGGTCTTGTACCTGTACAATGTTCATGCTGCTCATGCCTTTTGTGCATGAATATGTTTATCCACATGGCCAGTCAAAAAAATGATCTGGTTGACCTGTGTTTGCAGAAGACCTTTGACCGAATCTTTGATGGACAAACAGAAAATCATGTTTCCAAGAAGGATCTATTCATAAACAAAATCCTATAGTGTCATGCCTTTTAAAATAAAAAAAAATGGGGAGCAAAATTCCACATTTGCAAATACACCACTCTGCAGTTTAAAAGATAAAGCAAAGGGCTGGGGTTGGGGCTCAGAGGTTGTGGTGCTTGCCTAGCATGCGTAGGGCACTGGGTTCAATCTTCAGCACCACATGAAATAAAATAAGTCCACCTATACTTAAAAAATAATTTTTTTTAAATTTTTTATTGTTGGTTGTTCAAAACATTACATAGTTCTTGACATATTTCACACTTTGATTCAAGTGGGTTATGAACTCCCATTTTTACCCCATATACAGATTGCAGAATCACATCAGTTACACATCCATTGATTTACATATTGCCATACTAGTGTCTGTTGTGTTCTGCTGCCTTTCCTATCCTCTACTATCCCCCCTCCCCTCCCCTCCCCTCCCCTCTTCTCTCTCTACCCCCTCTACTGTCATTCATTTCTCCCCCTTGTATTATTTTTCTCTTTCCCCTCACTTCCTCTTGTATGTACTTTTGTATAACCCTGAGGGTCTCCTTCCATTTCCATGCAATTTCCCTTCTCTCTCCCTTTCCCTCCCACCTCTCATCCCTGTTTAATGTTAATCTTCTTCTCCTGCTCTTCGACCCTACTCTGTTCTTAGTTACTCTCCTTATATCAAAGAAGACATTTGGCATTTGTTTTTTAGGGATTGGCTAGCTTCACTTAGCATAATCTGCTCTAATGCCATCCATTTCCCTGTAAATTCTATGATTTTGTCATTTTTTAATGCAGAGTAATACTCCATTGTGTATAAATGCCACATTTTTTTTTATCCATTCATCTATTGAAGGGCATCTAGGTTGGTTCCACAGTCTTGCTATTGTGAATTGAGCTGCTATGAACATCGATGTAGCAGTGTCCCTGTAGCATGCTCTTTTTAGGTCTTTAGGGAATAGACCGAGAATTAAAAAATAAATTTTAAAAAAAAGATAAAGCAAAGGGCAGCGTAGACCTCAGAGCATCAATACTACCAAACATTCATTAAGAAAAATAAAGCAAGGGTAAAATCAACTCACCAATATTCATGTATGTGGGTACTAAAAAAGCTATAGTGACTTTAAACATTTAGGAGAGACTTAACATGTTAGGAATTTAACATTGATTTATTTCTCTCTGATTTAATACCATTAGTTCATTCACTCATTTAACTAATATTATTAAGCACTTATCATGTACAAGCATTTTGCTAAGTGTTAGGGCATAATGGAAAGCAAGATATAACTGGTATTTTATACTTTGGTTGGGGAGAGAGATAAATTAATCACATAGATAAATACATAACTACAAAGTTTGAGTATTTGCAGAAGGAAAGTGGTCCAATTCTATGGAAGCATAGAATAGGAGACACCGTGCAGGTTGGAGGGTAGTCAGAGAAGGCTCTATGAAAAAAACAATATATTTAAGGAAAGACCTAAAGAAAAGTAGAAAAATAAAAGACTAGAAGACTAAAGGAAGGGGAAGAGGGAAGAGAAAGAGGAAATACTGGCAAATGCATCAAAATAAATTATGTTATATGTATATATGAATATGTCACAGTGAGCCATTATTGTGTATAACTATACTGTACCAATAAAACTATAACAGGAAAAGGGGAGAGGAGATTTACAGGCAGGAGGAACAGCATCTGGGACAGAGTATACTTTGATTTTAATAAATTTCATATTGTGAACAATTTCCAAAGTCCAAAAGAGAAACATAACATCCCGTGATATTAGAAAAATCTCATCAATTTACCTCAGTGTAGCCAGAAATGTGTCAAGAGGAAAACTTCAAAGAGGCAGATTTCATCTCTCTAGCCTGTAAACAAAAGGCCCAAGACACTTCCCTAAGACTTGAGATCAATTTGTAATTTCTCTTTTTGTCATCCCTGAAGAATTTCCAAATTTACTCTTACTCTAGTAAGAGTAAAATATTTTTCCACCTTTATAGATATGCTATTACTAAATATAGTTCAAACGATGAAACAAAGAACAACTCATATCTTCAAAACCCCAGGTCTACCAAACACTAAGGGGGAAAAAAAAAGCAAAGGATAAAATCCATTCACCAATGGTATGCTTGTGTGAGGTAGTAAAATGAAGCAACTCAGAACATATGCTGTAATTCAATAGCAGGGCTGTAGTTTGGGAGAAGGAGTGGAGTGGCTAAGGAAGTCAACATGCAATCTTTCCATTCCTAATTCTATTCCTCTGGGCCATCTAGCTGGGGCTATAAATCAAAAGTATATAGGTCTTAAAAAAAAAAAAAAAAGCATGATCGATGCCAAAGTTACCATGCTTTCAGGGCTGCTTCCCCCTGTGAAGTGTGCCCATTGACCTGAGATTACAAATAGTTCTTTTCCTTGTCAGACTTCTGCAGAGGGTATGGACTTGACCCCAAAGGGGAGTGGAAAAAATGAAGATCTTTCCCTGAACTCTCATCCTACTGCTGCAACTCAAATCAAGCTTTCCCCGCTGCCCAGAGAGCTCATTTTGTAGGTAAGAGAAAGCAGATCGTTTCTTAAATAGAATCTCCTCTTTAAAAGGGACTTCAGATAGCATCTAATCCTAAACTCAAGCTATGCTGTGTAGTATTCTCCTAAACATATATGAAATCTGGCTAAGTACCCCTAGGGAGGGAAGTGCACTATCTCTGACAGCTACCATTTTTGAACATTCTTCCTTACATGGAGGCAAAGTTCATTGTTCTTTAACTTCCACAAAGAGCAGCAATAATAAAAACAAAAACAAAAAACAAATCTTTCCATGTTTGCTTTGATCACTTTCCATGTTCCAGGGCTGTGCAAAGGCATTTCAAATGCATTGTTTCTAATGTTTCCAAACAGCAGCACCAGGAATGATCATCATGCACATACAGGTGAGAAAACAGGTACAAGGTCACATGGTTAGAAGAGGTGATCCAGTCTGGCCAAATTCAATGCCTAGGCACGATCCTCCCTCCCTCCCTCCCTCCCTCCCTCCCTCCCTTCCTTCCTTCCTTTCTTCCTTTCTCCCCCCCAACCCCACCCTCTATCTCTCTGTTGCATGCCAGGATTGTATACAGGGACACTTTACCACTGGAGCTATGTCCCCTGCTCCCTCCTGCCCACTCTATTTTTATAAAAAATTTGAGACAGGGTTAGGCCCAATTCTTGACAACACACATAACTCTTGTTTCAAGTTTGTGTATTTGAAGGCACCTCTAAGAATCTGTTTTCAGCTTCCTCATTCATAACTTATATGCCATGGTTTCCAGTACTCTCAGAATAAGTATGACTCTCTCCATAAAAGATATCTGTATCTGGGGCTGGAATTGTGGCTCAGTGATACAGCTCTTGCCTTGCACGTGTGAGGCACTGTGTTCGATCCTCAGCACTACATAAAAATAAATAAGCAAAATAAAGGTATTGTGTCCGTCTACAATTAAAAAAATTAAAAATATATCTATATCTCTCTTTCTCTAACTACACACACACACACACGTTTTGTTTCGCTGAAAACTGCACTTTGTTCTCCAAATTAAATATGCATTATGAACAGACTTCCTTGAGCCTTTTTTTAATAAACTTTTTTTTTAAGAGAGAGAGAATTTTTTAATATTTATTTTTTAGTTTTCGGCGGGCACAACATCTTTATTTGTATGTGGTGCTGAGGATCGAACCCGGCATCAAGCGCATGCCAGGCAAGCGCGCTACCGCTTGAGCCACATCCCCAGCCCCTCCCTTGAGTCTTTTATGAGTGACATTTATATTGGTTAAGACATAGATACACAATATATTGGTTAAGACATAGATTTATGTAGGTTTAACTGTGGGTTTCAACATTGACTAGTTTTTAGACTCTTGGGCATTTTTACTTCTCAAATAATCAGCTTTCTCACCTATAAGGAGGAGGGAGCAGTAAGATGATGCAGCTTACTTTTAATAATTATTGTGAAAATTGACACTGCATGTATAGTACTTAGCATAATGTCCAGCAAGCACTATGTCAAAATAAATGGTGTTACTATTATTTCTTTATTTGCAGTAAATCAAAACCTATCTAATTGCTGTCAAGTCAGATTTTCCTTTTACCATGTTTGTAAATTTGGATTTTAGATATGAGAAATTTAAAAATTCATGCTAAATTTCTTTTTAAAAAAATGTTCTTATTAGTTGTTGATGGACCTTTATTTTATTTATTTATGTACATATGGTGCCGAGAATCAAACCCAGTGCCTCACACATGCTAACAAGCACTCTACCACTGAGCCACAACCCCAGCCCAACCCCTAAATTTCATCTTAGTTAAATTTTAGCCAATAGTTCCAGCTGGAATCTTGCTTCTGTCATTTAATATATTAATAACCCTTTCTAGGTTATTAATTAATTAAGATGGTTTTGAGCCACCTATAGATTTACAAAATTATTATGAGTACCTTCAAGTTGTTGCTAAATTAAACAGAGAAGTCAAAGTCTATTTTCGTTTGTGATACTGTAGTCCAAGTTGTAAATGTATAGCAGCTACTAGCAGCTACGTGTGGAATCTTCCCTGTGCTCTTCTGTTTCCTGCAATTGTATCCCCCAGTGATTCCTTGAGTTTTAAGCTGCCTCTGACCTATGATACTGTAGATCTTCTGATGTTGACATAGCTGAGTCTATTAACTATCTTGTAGACTGAAAACCAGGACACCTGGGGCTAAACACTAGCTTTCCACCAATGTACTTAGGCTCTCCAGGGCTCCATTTTCATACTTGTAAAAGTGAGCAAATCTTCACCCTTTCTCTTCTTTTGATGATATGGCGAAGACGAATTTTAAAGTAATTATAAAGGGATATTACATTCTTAAAATTGATGGCATATCATGTATAAATTTCACTGTCTAAATGTTAGCAAAAGAAGTCTCTGAGCAGCTGATGTAGATGACACAAAGCCTAGGCATTTAGCATATCCATTTTAGTCATAGATTCAACATATGCACATGTCCAATAAGCTTGTTTTTTTCATTTCTTAGGTCACGGTGAGTAGAAGATGAAAATGGATAGAGACTGCCCAAGGTAGGTAAATTAAAAGTAGCAAATAATCAATTTAAAAGGAGAGAGGAAAGACATATAAAAATTAGAAACTAAAAATTATGCAGAAATATGAGACCAATAAGTAAATGGGAAAAGACCCCAGCTTCGCAGGTTCTGAAGAATATCACTGAATTATATAACTCAGTACTATGATTGATGTTCAAAGTGGTTACTAGTTCTTGCATTGGAATTCTGGTTTTGTATGTTCAGTGTTCGTTGTGTTCTCTTCTGGAAGCACTGCTCTGATTTTCCTTTGGATAATAACCTTTCCAAGCTGTATTTAGTTCCAAAGGAAACAACACTATGGTATTTTTCCCTCCTCTGGCCAAGTTTGAGCCTGTGGTCTAAGCCAGGTCAGTCGCCTTCTTGCAGGAATTTGGATGTTGAGCAGAGCAACACAAAACTGTTGGGCTAATTCATCCTCATGATGGTATTCTGAATAGATACTCTATTCTTCCCTTCTGTACAGAACCTTGAGACTGTGGTCCCTGACTTTTCAAGACTCGTTGTCCATTTTTCCTTAATTTGGGGGAGTGCACTAAATCATTCTAATAAAATGCTATTTGTTTGCTTAACTTAGCCAAAGGTATTTTTTGGCTGCTCACAATTTATTAATTGACACAGATTTATTCAATTTTTATTCCATATTTAATGTTTAGAAAACTACAGATATTTGTGACAAAATTAAGAATATTTCCAATAACCCAATCAACAAATGGGCCAAGGACCTGAACAGACACTTCTCAGAGGAGGACATACAATCAATCAACAAGTACATGAAAAAATGCTCACCATCTCTAGCAGTCAGAGAAATGCAAATCAAAACCACCCTAAGATACCATCTCACTCCAGTAAGATTGGCAGCCATTATGAAGTCAAACAACAACAAGTGCTGGTGAGGATGTGGGGAAAAGGGTACACTTGTACATTGCTGGTGGGACTGCAAATTGGTGCAGCCAATTTGGAAAGCAGTATGGAGATTTCTTGGAAAGCTGGGAATGGAACCACCATTTGACCCAGCTATTCCCCTTCTAGGTCTACTCCCTAAAGACCTAAAAAGAGCATGCTACAGGGACACTGCTACATCGATGTTCATAGCAGCACAATTCACAATAGCAAGACTGTGGAACCAACCTAGATGCCCTTCAATAGACGAATGGATAAAAAAAAATGTGGCATTTATACACAATGGAGTATTACTCTGCATTAAAAAATGACAAAATCATAGAATTTGCAGGGAAATGGATGGCATTAGAGCAGATTATGCTAAGTGAAGCTAGCCAATCCCTAAAAAACAAATGCCAAATGTCTTCTTTGATATAAGGAGAGTAACTAAGAACAGAGTAGGGTCGAAGAGCATGAGAAGAAGATTAACATTAAACTGGGATGAGAGGTGGGAGGGAAAGGGAGAGAGAAGGGAAATTGCATGGAAATGGAAGGAGACCCTCAGGGTTATACAAAATTTCATACAAGAGGAAGTGAGGGGAAAGGGGAAATAATACAAGGGGGAGAAATGAATGACAGTAGAGGGGGTAGAGAGAGAAGAGGGGAGGGGAGGGGAGGGGATGGGGGATAGTAGAGGATAGGAAAGGCAGCAGAATACAACAGACACTAGTATGTCAATATGTAAATCAATGGATGTGTAACTGATGTGATTCTGCAATTTGTATACGGGGTAAAAATGGGAGTTTATAACCCACTTGAAGCAAAGTGTGAAATATGATATATCAAGAACTATGTAATGTTTTGAACAACCAACAATAAAAAAATTAAAAAAAAGAATATTTCCATAAAACTTTGTTAAAATTCCAAACTTTGGGATAAAGGGATATTTCTATAATAAAGAATTTATTGATTTCCTAGCAACAGCAAATCAATGATTTTCTAGTAATAGCAATCAAAGTTGTAATAGCATACATATCCAACAATTGATTATGTATTATTTTTGTAGCTTAAATATATCTTGGTTAACATATTATTTCTGATTAGGTTCTTATTAAAATGTTGGTAGATGACATAGAAACTGCCTGGGGATGAATATGCTTTTAGTTGTGAACAAAACCCTGAACCTTTAACATATGTTGCCATCTGTTTGTACTGGTTGTGCTAAGTGCTGAGACAAAGCAGTGGACAGGGAGGACACAAACAGCTCCTGACGCTGCAGAGCTTGTGGTACAGTAGCCCCGTGACTGTGCACTGAACAAAAGGAAGAATTGCCTTTGCTCCTGACAAGCTGCTTTCCCACGTCTTTGGCCATGCATTTCTCCAGCCTAGAAAATCAAATGTCAACGTATTAGCTACATCCCTTTTCTATTCTATATCCTGTTCCTTTTCCAAGGTCCAGATTGAACAGAGAGTTCTCCATTAAGCTTTTCATAGTAACCACAATAGTGATGACAGTGAAACATGTATTGAGCACCATGCTAACCTCTCGACAAGGATTACATCACTTATTTCTCACTGCGTGCTGCGAGCTATTTATGCACGACTCTTTGGCTATTGAATTGGTGGAAACTTTGGGAAGATTTAAAAATATATATAACTTAAAATATTGAATGCCCAGAATCACGAGGATCTGTTAAAGCCTAGAATCTAAAATATAAGGTGGGAAGGAAACAGATTTATATTTAACCATGCATCAGAATTGCTGGGGGAGTTGTGTGTGTGTGTGTGTGTGTGTGTGTGTGTGTTATTTTAAAGTAGAGATACCTTCTCAAGATTCCAGCTGAAAAGACACACGCATATATATAGAATTCAGCCCATTCAGATCTAGAGATAATCATAAAGAGCACTTGGTTGTGATTCCATTCTTCTTCTCCTCCCTCCCCCTCCTTCCTTCCCCTCCCCTCCCCCTCCTCCTCCCTCCTCCTCCTCCTCTTCTTCCTCCTCCTCCTCCTCCTTCTTCCCTTCTTCTTCTTCCCTTCTTCTCCTTCTCCTTCTCTCTTTTTTTTATTGGTTGTTCAAAACATTACAAAGCTCTTGACTTCTTCTTCTGTAGCTGTAAAGTTTAAAACATGATTTTAGGAGAAATGTCAACTTATCAATGAGATCTTCCCTGATCACCTTATTTAAAATTTTAACCCATCCCATTCACATTAATGCTTAAGTGGTTTCCACAGAATGTGTCACCTTCTGCTTATTAATTACCTTTCATTTTTCTCCACCGGAGTAGCTTATACCTCCACCCACAAGAATGTCAGCTCCATAATGGTGGAGAGTTTTGTCAGCTTTGTTCATTATAGCAGCTACAGCCCCTGAAAGGGTGCCTGGCATAGAGGGGCACTCTTTTTAATTTTTTTTAAATTGTAGATGGACACAATACCTTTATTTTATTTATATATGGTGTTGAGTATCGAACCCAGTGCCTTCCACATGCAAGGCGAGCACTCTACCACTGAGCTACACCCCAGCCCTAGAGGGACACTCTTTATCCAATGATGAATACATGAAAGAATTCAAAGGCCAAAGTACCCTTCAGAAATTCAGTACTATTTCCCCTCCTATGAGAAGTGGAAGGCAGTGCTGTATCAGTAAAATTTTTTGGTGGATAGAATCATGGAGCCTCACTGCCTCGCAGAGGGCACTGTGTCAGGAGCCTTGCAATACCCAGGCAGTGCCTACTGTGTCTGGGGCCACCTGGTCAACAGCAGGTGTTACACACAAGAGCAAGGCCATGAGGAAGAGCTCTCCTGACCTCAGATGGGTTCAATGAGTGTTTATTAAACATACTCAGCTGTTGGTTTCAGCACTTGTGCATATAACTTGTCTGTATTACAACTTCTGGGATTTGTTCAGGGCCATTTCCTGGTTCCTTCAGATCCCAGCTTTCTGCCACCCATATTGTCTAATTTTTGAACTTTTGAAGAGCAGAGTACTGCTTTCAGTGCCATTTAGTCATTTCCTGCAGCTCTTCATCTCTTTAGAGTAGCTTTTAAAGTTACTATGATCATTTTGCATATAGGACATTGGATTTCTATTTTTATTCAACTAAATAAATGGAAGCCACAAAACATGCAAGCTGCACTCTTATTCAACTGGAGGTTGGTTTTGAAATCATTCTCTAATTACCCGATGTCTTTCCAAATCAGACAGATCTGAAAGTAAAAAATTTGGAATTAAAGACACAGAAAGACATGAAGCCCCTCTTATAAGAATTAAGGGGATTAGAGTTTCAAGGAAAATCACCAGGGCTTAGATTCAGACGTGGATCCCAAAGACAGCTCTGTCAATTATTAGCCCTGCAAGTTCCACGTTGAGTTGGATAATGGGGCTGCCATCTCAGTTCACAAGCTGCAGCTCTATTGTGTAGAATTATAAATATGAAAATCACAATGAAAACTGCATATATGTCCAATCTAAAAAGCACTCTAATTTTGCTGAACACTGAAGAATGAAGGTGAGTTGGTAAGAAGAGGGAATTTGAAGGCATCTAGCATTAATTTTCCCATCCTTTTTTGCATGGAAGTCCACTTCAGTGAGATGTATTTAGTCAGCTTTTGCTGCATGTCAGTCTCAATGCCTAAGTGGTTTCTAAGCCATCCACATTCATTCTCTTGCTCATTTGTCTGCAGTTCAACTGTACCAGTGGATCCACTCTTCAGTTACAGGTTTGAGAAAAGTAGTTACTGCCTACACCAATGGACACTGTGTGGGGACCAAGAATATCTTTACTCACTCCTGTTACTGAAAACCTAGATCTGGAATAGGTCTTAACTTTTTTAAATAGAAAAGGAAAAAATAAAATAGTATCTATGGTGGAAAAATACAACAGAATAATGAAAAAGATACCTATCAAGAGGACTTGTCTAGGTGGGGCTCCTTGGGTGACTTGACTTCAAGGTTGTGGGTCATGTAGGCTGGTTTTCATGCTACTGGTTGTAATTGGGTTTTCTCATGCAATTCCCATCATTCTGAGACAGATGGCTAATGAAGATGGCTTTTCAGGGCAAAGACAAAGTTCAAGAAGGAAACTAATTGATATAAAAGTATTAAGGCCCAAACTTCAATCACATCCTCTAGCACTCCATTGGCCAAAACAGGTCAAATTACTAAGACCAGTATCAGAAGGGTTGGGAAGTACATGTCACCATAATGAGGGCCGAGAGTGTGACTTGCTAAATATTAATCTAAACCTTCACAGATGTTCTTTGAATGGGACTATGTTTAAAAGTGCTTGTTAATCTCTTAGAAATTCCCAGTGTATAGGTATATTAAAGGCTCTGGGGAGTCTTGTTCAAAACAAACTTGTTTGATTTCATTTGGCTGAATGCTTCCCAATTTATGTTTTACCTCTACTTTACAAAGACTATTTTTATTTCATGGAACCAGATTTTTGCTGAATACCCATTGGGAAATACTGTTTCCAAGCATGGAATTATACAAATATTAAGAGCACTGGTTCTGGATCAGAGTTGTGTCTCTGAGTTATTTTAAACACCTGAAATTCTTGGGTAAACAGTAGCTTATGGTAGATTGAATTGTGATTCTGGGATTTGGAGATGGATGTACAACTTGGATGGAAGTTGTGAAGGGAAAGAAGTAGTTATTAGAAGGTTGAACCAGACAGAATCCAGCTGAGGGTTCTCATGATAGTTTCTGCATAGACCTGGTAGAAAATAGCCCACTATCACAGGGTTTGCTTAGTTGATTTTGAGGATAAAGCCTCAGGCTGGTGGCAGAAATCATGGATGTGTGACTTGTCAAATTGTTTTTACCTTTTCCCCTTCTAGACATATTTCACAAGTACATAATAATACCAGGGAACATATTTTGCCATGAAAATAAAGCCTTAAATTGTATAGTGAATGAGAAAAGTTTGATTTGATAGTGTGAATGAAATTTGTTCATTTTATATTTCAAGGTGTAATTAGTCAATGAATTGATTGATATAGGATCTATC